CTGTTCTTTTGACCTGCTTTATTTTTCTTCTTAGCTCTTATCTTCTGATACTTACCTTTTTTGTTTATCATCCATCTCCATAATATAAACTCCATGAGAGCAGGGACTTTGTCTATATTTTTCACTGCTGAGTCCCATCCCCAGTATCTAGAATAGAGCCTGGCACATAAAAGATACACAGTAAATATTTATTGAGTGAATAAATGAAATTATTCATGCTTAAGAATTCTACATTATCCTATGGCAACATCTTGTGTCAAAATTTTTTTAAAAAGAATTCTACATTAGCTCTGGCTGCAATCCCAAAGGGAATTACTGGGTTCTGATTATTGCCTATTCTTTAAACTCTAGGGATATAAATAGCATAATTTAGAATCTTAAGAGTTAGAAAAGATCTTAGAAATATTCTAGTCCAACCTTCCATCAATTCAGAAAATGCTCTCTACAGAGGAACTTTTTTTTTAACTTATCAATATACATTGCAGTTGATTTTTGTGTCCCTTTACCCATTCCTCTTTCCTCCCTCCTCTCCCCCCACCACATCATATTTATTCACTCGTCTTAACAAGTTCAAGGAATTGTTGTGATTGTTGTGTCTTCTTCCCCCCACCCTTTATTTGTTTGTATATTTATTTATTTATTTATTTTTAGCTCCTACAAATAAGTGAGAACATGGTATTTCTCTTTCTGTGCCTGACTTGTTTCACCTAATTCAATTTAGAGAAAATTATATTAACTTCAGTGGTAATTGAATGGTATGGACTTACATCCATGTTTTTGCGGAGGAACTTTTTATTGGAATTCATTATTAGAAAAGATCTTAACAGAAGAGTAAAATAAAGATACATTTTCTTTTTCTATACTTTCTAATTTGGCATTCCTTGAAGAACCTGGACCTATGATGGTCTGTGGTCATCTAGCAAGTGGTTCCCAGGAAGCTTTATGATTTCAGAGTAAAAAGCCATGAAGCCATTTTGTCCACATGTAATTCACATTTTTTGAGACATTCTGTCATGTTAATAATCACTGAATACCTGTACCGGCCAGCCTTCAAAAACAAACAAAAAAATAGTCATTGAACAAAAAGAACTACACTGGTCAATTAATAGAATACAGTTAATTATCTCTGCTGTTGTATTTTCATGGTATTTGCATATCACTATTTGCATTTGTTAAATTTACACTTCATTGTTAGTATTATGCTGCTTTATCCCCAATTCACAAAAATGAATTCATCATTCAGTAGTAGTCATTAAAATGTAAAATACCTGTGATAAAATATGATGCTGTTTTGAGTTGCCGTATTATTAACATAAATAGTAAACAAGACGCAATTGGGAATATATAATGTGAATATGTATGTACTGAGATAAGTGAATAACTGCTGTTGTGATACCTGGTACTGCCACCCAAAAAAGAAAAGCGCATATAAAAAATGTAACAATGAATATCTGGAAATAGAATTTTATTAGACTGTTTATCTGTTCTCCCTAAAGCCTTTTCTGTTATGAAACTTGGTCAAATAATAAATTTGGCATGAAGTCATTGAAACTTTTGCATTATTTCAGAGTACGTACAGTGAGTTTTTCTAGAACAAATGCAAAATAAGATCTTCTAGTATGAAACTAACTAATTCTGTTATTAGGCATAAAAGTGACCAAACGAGAGGCATCATTCTGTACCCTGCTCATAGCAAAAAGAGAGGAGGTCACACTGTTTTTCACACTATTTCTAAGAAACTTGTGAAGATCAGCGTCAGAATTAATGACGAATATCTCAGAAAAAGCAAAGGGTTTTTTTTGTCTTATGATCCTATTGAAAGTTATATAACCTCAGTGGCAAACAGTGTAGAAGGAAATAATTTTTATTATATTTTCATGCTGGAATTACTCAGTTATTTCACTTTGCAGTAGGAAGAAACCACGGACAGTATGACTAAAATATTAGCTTATGTGCACTACGTATATGATGAAGAAAAGTTGGACAACTTATTTTCTACTTCTAATTGAAAACCTTTACTACAGGGAAAAACTTTTTATTTGTTCAATTAATTATTTTGTCAGCTGTTTTGCAAAGAAGGACCTCACTACCCAAATAAGACATCATACCTAACGTTAGTCCATATTCTCACTTATTTCCAGAAAGAGTTAGCAATTGAGAAATAAGCGTTTTCATATTGATTGAAAATTAAAATTAAAAATACCAGCAAATTGTAGCCCTTGAGTTTGCAGTTTTGCATGCTGTGCAAGGATTGCCAGTGAATAAGAGGCTCTGCTTATCCAAACTGATATATGCCAACTTTTGGGCAAAGTGATTCTAATGTGAGTTTTTAAAATAAGTAATAATATTTTAAATACTTCTTTATGACACTGGTGCTGTTAAGAAATAGTTAAGATACTCATATTTCTGTGGCTTGCTCATATGGTGTCTTAGTGATGTATTCAATATGATTGACCTGAATCCATCATTTCAGGCTAAAATGCCGGGATTTTAGTTGTCGAAGGCAAGGTAGTGATATTTCCTAAGATGACTAAGCTGTGGTGGAGACTGCTCATCACTAAGAGCTTATTAACTCTTTCCTCTCGAAAACTTTTCCTCTTGACAGAGAAAGAAATCATTTTTATTAGATACCTTTTTTAAAAGTTCAAATTCTACAGAAGACCATGAAGAAATACATTTCAGAGCCATATTAACCAAAGAGTGGATCAGGAATCCATTCACCACTCCCAAGTGGGAGAACCAGGCTTCCAGCATTTGAGTGTGTTCATCTGCACTCGGGTCATCTCCAATGAGCAATTTTTTGTAGTTTCTATGTCTGCATTTAATCCACTTGTCAAAAACTATGTGACATAGCCACCAAACACTTCCGTTCCTGGTGACCTATATTTGGAATTAGAGGTTTCCAATTTGATGGATACAAAGAAAAAAGGAAACTGACTTAATGATTTAGCTTGTCTATAAGTTAACTAGAGATCCCTTGATAAAAACTCGTCAAATTTCATTCTTCTCACTGGTATTAAACCATTATTCTAATTGTCATTTATTTTAAAATTTTGTTTGGTATTTTTAAAATTGTGATTAATTTTTATTTACCTCAAAATGGTCGACCAAAAGTTAGAAAAATAACAACTGTAATTAGTGTAGAACCAGCAGCTGCGTGCTTTTACCACTAGATGGTGGTCCTACCTCAGAAAATCGAAAGTGCTGAATCAGTGATGTGGAAACCAACAAATGTGCTGATGAAGTGGGGCCACTGAATAAGGAGATTTAGTCTATGGAAAAATGGAATACAAGTACATTGTTTTTTAGTATTGGATAAGTAGGTTTAGCAGAGGCTAAAAATAGGAAATGCCTAACAGTCAAACTGCAAATTTAAAAAATTCTGTCAAAAAGAACAAAAAAAGAAGAGGAGAAAACTAGAATAAGCAAAAATGAATACAGATTAAAGTTTAATAATTTTAAGTACTTACTTAAAAGTAAAGTACTAACACAGTACTTTACTTCCATAAATAATATAAAATATTTGAGCATAGAAATATAAAATTTAGATAGAAAACTCAGACTTTAAAATAAACTTATACAAAATCAAGTAATAAGAACAAATATCTAATGTTCAAGAAAGAAAAATTTGGTGTGATAATATGTATTGAAATTGACTTTAACTTGAGAGAAGGGATGTGGAATTATGATGAAATTCTTAATGTTTATTTTCATATATATAATTTCTGTGCTAAAAATCAACAATCTTTTTTATATGAACTTCAGCCAAGCTAATGCTAATAATACAATGTTGAGTAAGACACATTCTCTGTCCTGAAGGACCTCAGAGTCTGAGTGGTTGGGACCAATGTAGAAATTGGGCACCAGCTCGTCCCAGATCCCACCTAATACAGGAATCCTGTCAGCTTCTGCCTGAATACTTGTGGTGAAAAGAAACCTCACTACTTCATGCAGACCCATTGCTTCGGAGGGCTAATTTTAGGAAACTTTTCTTATACTGAAGCATTTCAGTATAAGGGCATTTCTATCCAGTAGTTCCAATTCTGCCCCATGGTGCAACCCAGAACCAGTCAGCTTCTTTTCCACCTGATAGTCAGCCATTCAGATCATGATCACATCTGCACTCTAGTCTTATTTTTCCTTCAAGATTAAACTTTACTACATTAGTAGTATCTTTCACAGTTCTTTTTAATATAGTTACCCTTCCCTCTTTTATGTTTTGTCACATTTTATATGCATTCTGTTTATAAATTATAGACAAAAATACTGATTTATGTGAAATACTAATTAGATACCTTTCTTGGGTTGGCATCCACATGCTGTGCAAAACTCTGAATAGAGTTGTTCAACTAGTTATGAAACCGACCCGTATTTCTCTGTCACAAAAGACAACACAAAAGCTGTTGTAACACAGCTTCCAAACCTCATTATTTTATCAAGAAATTATTGACCACCTGGTATATGCGAAGCATAGTATCAGACAGTGGAATGCAAGTCAAGAAAAACCTGGTCCTTTAGAGTTTGGAGGTGATAATAGTCAGGTGCACCAGTGTTTAGAATGTAACCACAGCAATGACTGAAGGACTCTTAGATGGCAGCTGGAGCAAGAAGGCGGAGCTCTTCCCCAGTCCCTGTCCAAGGTTTCCTGTGTGATGTGGCATTTGAGTTTGGTTCTGGACTCTCAGAAGAAGTTAGCTGTGATAGCAGGGGTGAGGTTGTGAATGCTGGGCAACAGAAATCTGGACCTTCATCCTGATGCTAGTTCTTCCCTGTTCTGTTTGAGAATCACTTTCTTGGCTGAAGAATCCAGAAGGAAAATGGTGATTTAGTCCCTCATTAGGCCTACTCTTTGGAAAGATGTCCAAATGTCGTCCCTTCTTTGTTCTTCTTACACCAAAATAGCTTGAAAAACAGATCTAACTTCTTCCATGATAAAAACCACCATGGATACAGGATTTCTGTATTATTAGAATCAAAATAAAAACCAGAGTACCAGATAAGCTGCTTAAATTGTTCTCACCACAGCTTCCTTTTGGAGAAAAAAATAATAGGCTAAAGGGAAATTAAACGGGTAGAAATAACTGCAGGTAAAATTAAGAGTGCACTGTGGCCTCCCACCTCCAGGACTACAGTCTCTGTCTTCCTTCTCCAGTCCTCCCCTACATATAGCACATACATCCCCAGTCTAGACACATTTGCTTCCCATCTCCTATCCAGGGTTGTCTCCAGAGTTGCACATCTGCTGAACTCATTAAAATGCTAGCTAATTACAAAGGTGTTCATGCCCACAACAAAGATCAGGATATAAATTATCCCAGATATATTTCAGTTTCTATGGAGTCTGGAAGACCAGGAGTCTTCAAGACTTCAATGAGTAAGGCTGTAATAATCAGAATAATACCCTCCTGAATCATATCACCTTGATAGCCATCCTTCTGACTGGTTAATCAATTGTTAAGCCAACACAGCAGATACTTCCCACCTCATTTGCCTTCTGAAAACATGCAGCCCAATAAGCATTACTTGGATCATTACCATGTAAATAAGAGGTAAATAGAGGAAGTGATGTGTTGGTAGCTGGGAAATGAAGACTTATGAGCAGAGAATTTTTTTTATTCTGCTCAGAAGTGTGGAGGCAGATTCAAAATATAGAGACGTAGATTAAAAAATATGAGGGGTCTTCAAAAAGTTCATGGAAAGATCTGTATTATCTTTTAATTCTGTTTTTCCATGAACTTTTCGAAGTACCCTCAGAGTGTCAATTTTTACTAGGAATTACACTTGACATAACCAAAAAGTCAAAACTTAAATTGGTTCCAGGTATATTCATAAGATGACCTTTGGTAAAGTAATAGAGATCTTTAATGTTTTTATTTGGTTTTGTTTTCCTTTTGGAACCAGGTTATTCAGAGAATATTCTACACAGTCAACAGATCTTGGAGTGGAAAAATTACTTCGACAGAGATAAGAAAAAGCAACTTTTTGCAAGTATGCCTCTCATTGGAATTCAGATATTAAGAGCAATTTAAATAATATTACTACTTCATTTAACAAATATTTGAGTGCTTACTGTATGCAAAGCACTGTCACTACTTTCAGTCATTAAGCATTTACCAAATACCTATAGTAAGGACACTGGGGTGTCTTGGGGGGACAAAGATGAATAGAATAACAGAGACCTCTGCCTGAAGGATGCACTGTAGAGCAAAAGAGAGAAGTACACAGATGGCCACACTTGGCTTGATAAATTCCACAGACATGTATAAAAGGTGCAGAGAAAGCTTCTCAGAAGGACTGGCATGTGATCTTCACCTTGGAGGATATCAGGGGTTTACCAAGATAAAAAAAAATTAGAAGAAAGAAGATTCCAGATAGAAGCAGCAGCATAAGCAAACGCCAGAAGCATGAAAGTGTCATGTTCGGGAACTACCAGTCTTAAGTGGCCAAAGGCTCCTCAGAGAGAATGACCAGAGATAAGGCTGGAGGGGTGGGCTGAGGCCAGGTTGGGAAGGGCCTTACAAAGGAAATGAAAGAATCTGGACTTGAATCCTTCAGCAATGACTCTTCATCCAGCTCCTGCTGGAGAAAATTGCTAAAAATTTCTTTTAAGAAAGAATATATTTCATTCATTTATATTATTTATTTTACTAAGTGAGAGAAAAGGTATTGACCACTAGTGGGAGCCTTTTACTGCGGTAATCTTCATGCCTGCTTGTTTAAGCTTCTGTAAACCTAAAGAAAATGGAATTGTTCACACTTGAAAGGAAATGAAATGTTTTATTTTAAATGAACATACTAAATGAAACTTAGGCTAATAAACACAATCTTATTTACTTTTTATTTTTTCCTATCTTCATCTGGGACGAAGTAAAAAAGACTTGGCAAAATTAGCAGTCCATGATGGATATACAAAAATTTTTTAATCCTAAAATGAACAGTTATTGTTGATATTAATTATATTTGTCAGGTGTTTGCCTGATGCCTGCCTAGGCTCTCCATAAGTAATATGGAATAGGTTAAGGTGGCAGTAATTCCATAACACTTCAAGAATGATAATAATCCATCACATTCCTGAAGTGCATTATAGTTTGTAGTTTCTGGATCATTATTATAATCCTTTTTATTTTAATGATAAAATTTGATGTTCAGATATAGTCGAATGACTTGTATAAGATCACACAGCAAGTAAGTTGCTGAACTGGAAATAGAACTCAGGTGTTGTGCTTCCTAGAGCATGATTTTTTTTCCACCTTCCTTTTCTTCCCTAGTCCTCTTCTTAGTCTTTATTTTATGGCATCCAATGGGTAAAAATCATAGCTACTTGTTTCTAAAGATTTGTTTTATTTAAAGCATTCTGCTTCATACATAGCAAATGGCATTTTATAAAACAAACCATTACAAGCAAGTTTGGAAAACAGAAGAGAAACTGTATTTTACCATCCTAACTCAACTAGCATCATTTTTATTGTGCTCTAGTCTCATTCATATGTATGTATACGGATTTTAGGACTTAACATAGTTCTTAGCGTGTACAATCTTGTTTTCTATATTTTGCACTTACATCATGGTTTTCCTTTGTTTTTTTGTAAACATTATCATTTTTTCTGGCTGCATAATCTTCCATTGAGCAGACGTGCTATCATTTAATAATTTACATTGTTTTCAATTTACCAAAGCATTTTGGTTTCCCAGTGTTTACATTTTGAAAAATAATTTTTATCAGAGTCATGCATTTGTATTAGGAAATAGTCCTTTGTCTCTTATAATGTTTTTCACCTTGAATTCCATTTTATCTTCTATTAATATTGATATGTTTTCTTTTTTGTTTACATTTGACTAGTACATATTTGTCTGTTTTAGTCCATTTCTGTTGCTTGTAATAGAAAAACCTGAAACTGGGTAATTTATAAGAAAACAAAATGTATTATTTAGAGTTTTAGAGGCTGGGAAGTCCAAAGTCCAGGGAACACATCTGCTGAGGGCCTTCTCTGGCAGTGACTTCAGCAAGGCAGGGTGTCACATTGCAAGAAAAGCAGAAGCAAGAAAGAGAGCTTCTCACTCGCTCTTTTAAAGCCATTAGAACCCCGCCCATAACCACCATTAAAGCGTCAGTGGATTAATCCATTCACTAGGACGTGGTCCTCACACTCCAGTTGCTTGTTCAAGGCCCCACCTTTCAATTACCATAATAGGATTTCCCACCCTCCCAACAGTCACAGTGGGGTTCAAACCACAATGAGCTTTGGGGAGATATCCAATCCACAGCATTGTCCATCTTTTTTTTTTTTTATTATTTCATTTTATGTGTATCTCTTATAGACAGCATACGCCTTGATCTATTCAAACCACAATGAGCTTTGGGGAGATATCCAATCCACAGCATTGTCCATCTTTTTTTTTTTTATTATTTCATTTTATGTGTATCTCTTATAGACAGCATACGCCTCGATCTAGTTTGGGGGGTTTGGTTTTTAAAGTCAATCAAAAATCTTTTAATGGGGAGATTTAACTCATTTATCTTTATTGCGATTGTTGATACAGCTGATTTTATTTCTGCCATCTCATTTCCTAAATTTCCTTATGGTTTCTTTTATTTTTCTTTCTAAATCTTTTATTTCTGAAAATGTCTTTATTTATCTGCCTACTTATATAATAATTTGGCTGACTATAGGATTTTGAATTCAAAATCTCTGGTTCGGTTTTACCTAGGGGTACACAGTGAGTCAGGGTACACCCAGCTTTACTTTCAGCTCAGGGCCCTGCAGCTCTACCTGCCATGCCTTCTATGCTAGGCCATCTTGTGTCATCACTATTGTATATTTGAGGGAACTTCAAAAAGTTCATGGAAAAATGGGATTAAAGATAAAAATAAAAAATATAAACTTTCTCAACATGAGCCCCATCAAGTTCAAGACACTTCTGTAAGCAATGACACAAGCCATTTAGTTCATCCCTAAAGAACTGAGGGTCCTGGGAATTTAACCGTATGCTGTAGGTTGGATGTTCCCCCAACCTCACTGTGGCTTAATCCCCACTGTAACTTTTGAGGGTAGGAAATCCTATTACAATAATTGGAAGGTGGGGCCTAGAAGAGGTGATTAGATTGTAGGACCATGCTGTAGTGAATGGATTAATAATGGTGATCGGGGGCATGGTTCTCAGGGTTTTAAAAGAAGAGCACATGAGAGCACAGAGCCTCTCTGCTCTGCCATTTTGCAATGTGACACCCTGCCATCACTGTTGCCACCGTCAAGGCCTTCATATGTGTTCCCTGGACTTTGGACTTCCCAGTCTCTGAAACTGTAAGCAATAAATTTTGTTTTCTTACAAATCATCCAGTTCAAAGTATTTTGTTATAAGCAACAGAAACAGGCTAATACAGAAAATTGGTACCAGAGAAGTGGGGTGTTGCTTACAGCAAATATATGAAAATGTGGAAATGTCTTTGGAACTGGGTGTTGAGGAGAGGATGGAGGAATTTGAAGGAACGGGCTAGAAAAAGTCTAGATGCTGGTGAAAGTTTAGAAGACAAGAAAACTAGGGAAGATTTGGAACTTTTTAGAGAATGTTTAAATGATGGTGAGCAGAATGTTGATAGAATGGCCTTTACTGCTCATATTTCTGAGAAGATCTCAAATGTAAATGAGAAGGAGCTTTTTGGATACCGGGGCAAAGATCACCCTTACTATGAACTGGCAAAGAAGTTGGCTGCATTGTGTACATGCCCTAGGACTTTGTGGAAGTTGGAACTTAAGAGTTGTGAACCAAAGTATTTGGCAGAAGAAATTTCTAAGCAGCAAAACATTCAGGAAGCTGCATGGCTACTTGTAACAGCCTATGCTACATTTTGGTGGCAAAGGCATGATGTAAAGCCAGAAATTAAAAAGAAAGCAGTGGTCAAAAAATTGGGAAACTTCAGCCTGGCCACAAAAGCAAGGATATAGCCCAGGGGCCCATTGCTAAGGAGATGAGTACAGAAGAATGGGATTATCAAGAGAAGGGGGGAAAAAGACCTTGAAGGCATTTCAGAGTTCTTGGAGGCTGTGTCTTCCATTACAGGCCCAGAGGCCTAGGGAAACAGAATGGTCTCAGGGAACAGGCCTAAGGTGCCATCCACAGGCTTACTGCCCAGGGCCATCTCAGGAAGCCGCTTCTAGCACCAACACCCCCATTGCTTTAGCTGCTCTAGCTGTGGCTAAATTGGCCCCAGGTGTGGCTGGACCTGCAGCTTTGAAAGATACAAGCTGGAAGCTTTAGCAGCCTCTATGTGGTGTTAGGTCTACGGGCTTGCAGAATGCCACAGCTGTGGGGACTTGGGAGCCTCCATCCTGATTTCAAAGGATGTATGGAAAAGCCTGGGGGCCCAGGAAGAGATTTGTTGCAGGGGCAGAGTCACTACAGACAGCCTTCACTAGAGCAATGCCAATTGGAAACATGGGGTCACAGTTGTAGCAGAAAAACCCCAACAGTACCATGCCTGGTGGAGCTGTGGGAGCAGGACTGCAATATAGATCCCAGATCTGTAGAGTTACCAAAGTGGAATGCCATCCTGGGAGAGCTGAAGTGTGGCCTGAAACCAGGAAAGCCATAGGAGTGAAGCTGCCCATGGACTTGGGGACCCAACCCCCACACGAGCATGCAGAGGACATTGAACATGGAGTCAAGGTACATGATTTGCCAGCTTTGAGATTTAATGACTGCCCTGTTGGGTTTCGGACTTGCTTAGCAACTGTTACCCCTTTCTTTTGGCCTATTTCTCCCTTTCTAAACAGGAATATGTACCCTTTGTTTGCCCCATCATTGTATCTTGGAAGTAGATAACTTGTATTGATTTCACAGATGGTACTTTGAACTCTGGACTTTTGAGTTGAAACAAGTTAAGATTTTGCAGACAAAATGAATACATTTGTGTGTGAAAAGGACATGAGTTTTGGGGTTCAGGGGGAAGAATGCTATAAGTTGAATTCCCCCTCCCAACCTCGTTGAGGCTTAATTCCCACTGTAACTGTTGAAGGTAGGAAATCCTATGGTAATTGTAAGGTAGGGCCTTGAAGAGGTGATTTGATTGTAGGACCATGCTATAGTGAATGGGTTAATAATGGTGGTCAGGGGCGTGGTTCTGAAGGCTTTAAAAGAAGAGCACATGAGAGGTTAGTCTCTCTCTGCTCCGCCATTTTGCAATGTGATACCCCTGGGTCACTGTCACCACCACCAAGACCCTCACAAGATCTGTTCCCTGGACTTGGACTTCTCAGCCTCTGAAACTGTAGGCAGTAAATTTTGTTTTCTTTATAAATTATTCAGTTCCAAGTATTTTGTTATAAGCAACAGAAACGGACTAAAACACCATGTCAGTGCAGTTTTTTTTACATTATTAACTGAAGAAAAATGGGTGCCCTTTAAAGATTTTTCAAGATTAGGAAATAAAAAAGGTCAAAAGGAGCCTAATCAGGACTATAAGGTGGATGCCAAATAACTTCCCATCAAAATTCTCACAAAATTGCCCTTGTTTGATGAGAGGAATGAGCAGGAACATTGTCATGGTGGAGAAGGACTCTCTGCTGAAGCTTTCCCAGGCATTTTTCTGCTAAGCTTTGGCTGACTTCCTCCAAACACTCTCATAATAAGCAGATGTTATTGTTGTTTGGCCCTCCAGAAAGCCAACAAGCAAAATGCCTTGAGTATTCCAAAAAATTGGGATGACCTTTGCTCTTGACCCATCCACTTTTGCTTTGACTAGACCACGTCCACCTTTTGGTAGCCATTGCTTTGATTGTTATTTGTCTTCAGGATGGTACTGGTTAAGACATGATTCATCTCTTGTTACAATTCTTCGAAGAAATGCTTCAGGATCTTGATCGCACTTATTTAAAACTTCCATTGAAAGCTCTGCTCTCATCTGCAGCTGATATGGGTACAATAGTTCTGGGACCCATTGAGTGGAAAGTTTGCTCAACTGTAAATTTTCAGCCAGAACTATGTAAGCTGAACCAGTTGAAATGTCTGTGGTGTTGGCTATTGTTTCTGCTGTTAATCATTGGTCCTCTGCAATTAGGGTATTCTTAGTCCTGAATATGGAAATTGATGTGCATGGTCTGCTGCTGCAAGCTTCATCTTCAACATCATCTTGTCCCTTTTCAAAACAAGTTCTCCACTTGTAAACTACTGGTTTCTTTGGGGCTTCGTCCCCATAAACTTTTGGTAAAGCATAGATGATTTCACCATTCTTCCACCCAAGCTTCCCCATAAATTTGATATTTGTTTTTGCTTTTATTTTAGCAGAATTCATGTTGCTCTGATAGGGGCTGTTTTCAAACTGACATCTTATCCTTCTTAGTGCCTTAAGCTAGATATTCTTCAGACCTGTGATAACAAGTTAGTACAAGTTTATTTTGATACAAAAAAAAAATTTGCATTTCATGTGTATTTTTTTTATAATACGCATTTTCCCTGAACTTTTGAAGACCCTTTGTGTAAGTAACCTCTATGGTAAACTTGATTTCATTACAAAACCAAACCTACCTGTGGATGCCCACTCTTCTTAATATTGCTCACAAAGCAGTGTTAGTTTATAGCCATGTAATTAAGCCTCATGTCTAATTGTTCTGTGCTTGCCAGTCTGGTGACCTTTGACAGGCTGCAGTTGCCCAGTCCTTCCCTTTTCCTGCTTTTATATCCTCCACAGCATCTTGCCCTTTGCTAAGTATATTATAGAGCTTAATAAATGCTTATAGATTGATTAGTTGATTAAAGGTAGGATGAGGTTGCCTATTAAAAAGTTCTTGGTTTCGGGCCGGCCTGGTGGCGCACTGCTACAGTGCGCCGCTTGGGAGTGCGGCGGCGCTCCCGCCGAGGGTTCGGATCCCACATGCAGACCGGCCGCTCACTGGCTGAGCGAGGTATGGGCGCAACACTGAGGGTTGCAATCCCGTTGCCGGTCCCGGTCCGGTACGGGCACGACACTGAGGGTTGCAATCCGTTGCTGGTCACGAAAAAAGACAAAAAGGAAAAAAAGTAAAATAAAAAAAATAAAAGTTCTTGGTTTGGTACCATAAACAAAATTTTAAATTCAATTTAAAACAAAACTTCACTAGAATTCTGTACAATGGCCAAATCCTGGTTATTAATAATTTTAAAATTAATCCTTCTATTCATACCATTTCAGACTCTAGCCCTTTTGGAAGAAGAGGAAGATATAAACCAAATCACAGATTACTTCTCCTATGAACATTTCTATGTTATTTATTGTAAATTCTGGGAACTAGACAGTGATCATGACCTCTACATCAGCCAGGCCGATCTATCTCGATACAATGACCAGGGTGAGTGATCTATAGATGCTTAGACTTAACCATTTTGAAGAGTCATGTAAACTGTCCCTACTCATTATGAAAAATTCCTATTTGTTAAATTCTATATCTAATCAAGTCCTCTTTATAGAGCCAAGAATTTTTAAGTAGGAGTGAAGGAAGATAATTTAATTTTTTATTTACAGTCCAGATGTAGGAGAAGGGATTTGGAGGTGAGTAAGCAATTATAGTCTTAGTTCTGACGAAGCAGCAAGTCTTTATAGTGATGTGTATTTTCTGATGAAGAATTTGAATAAGATCCACACCTGCATGAATCTGTTTGAAAGAGAATATGTATACATCTTTATTAGCTTTCCCATTTAACAGTATTTCTATAAAAGCCAAGGATGAAAATAATGTTTCTAACTTGACAAATTTTATTTTCAAGGACTCATAGAAACTTACTTTTTGGAATTTAGCTCCAGAAAGATATTTTCTCTGCAGATGAATTTTGTATTCTTTCTTTTATCAGGAAAAAAAATTAGATATTACCCCTTTTGCTTCATTATCTTTGAATTTTGTATTCTTTCTTTTATCAGGAAAAAAAATTAGATATTACCCCTTTTGCTTCATTTTTGCCAGCAGTTAACTTAGACCCTATTGCTTACTGATTTTTAATATTCTATTTATTTATTTGTTTGTTTATTTATCTATTTATCTGTTTATTTATTTATCGATCGATCGGCAGCTGCCTGATATGGGGTTCCAAATCCGTGACCTTGGTGTTATACGGCTGTACTCTAACCAGCTGAGCTAACCAGCCAACCCCAGTTTAATATTCTTAACACCAAGATATATTGATTCATTATTCTCTCATATGATTGTCCCTGTTCTATCCTTAAAGGTGTCCTCAGGCACTGTTGGTTTTTTAATCAGACTTTAGATTTTTACATGTAGCAGAGTACAAATCTTAAATAAATGCATTGGATTTTGTTTCTTTTATTTGATATATCTGTGACTAATGGCATGCACCTTAAGAAAAGGCTCATTGTATGTGATGTCAAGTTCCATAGAGCTTTGCATATTTAAGAAACTGAGTTTTCGCTCTTAAATTTTCGGGTGCCAAGCAGACATCGAGGGGAAATACTCAAATGTACCTATTTGATAAACAAACATGTTAGTACTCTTACCTCCCTTCTTCAAGTAGTGGTAATCTTCTTGTCACCAGAATAGCATAAAGATGAAGATATACGTACAACTATCAGGTCAGCTTTATTAGCTACGCACCTTCCTATTACCAATGAATACATCATCTGTACAATATGAACCATTCTACAGTAGTCATGTACAACCCTATGGGCTCTAAAGCTTCCTGTCAGGCTGATATAACCATAATTCTCATCGAGTCTCCAAAATATTGTATATACTCAGATCACAACTCACTAGAGCCATGTTAATGGGATGAAGTCCAGAAAAGCAGGCATCTAGGCCTACATTATCCACTCACCAAAGTATCCTTAATGGCACTACATGGAACAACATGATTTTCAGTTTTAGGAGGCTAAACCTTTCAAAGCTAAAAAGGCCTTTTTAAAAAGACGTTAATTTTGGAATTAAATATCCTTGCCTTTTCTATGTAGTTCTCTTTTTTTCTATCTACTACAAATTATTAATCCCATAAACCAATGCTCAACAAAGTATAGAGGGTCTTTCATATAAGCTTTTGTGTGTGGCCAAACATGGCTGTATTGACATACGTATTCCCAACTTTCTTCAGCCTAACTAATTTACCTTTGTATTGACTGTACCTGACTGTGCAGATGTAGATGCTAACTCCCTAATGACCTCATCACTGGTTCTGAAATTTTAGCGTGCATGCCGTTGCCTGGGGCACTTCTTAAAAGAACAGGTGTGAGATCCCTAGGCATTCCTTTTTTTTTTTTTTTTTTTTAAAACAATGTCTTTGCTTATTTTGAATTCACAGTGAGGTACACTACAATGAATTTTCTAGGCTCTATCAACAAAAAGCAACATACTACCTTAAGATACAGTTGTCTCTGTCTGTGAATAAAACTTACTGATGGAATTTTTTTTTAATTTCATTATATCATGTTATATTCTGGACTCTTAGAGAATGAGAATATAGGAAAAGTATGTTTATGGTATGTCTCGTTATGTTTTTAAAAATTCTACTTGAAAGCACTTTCTATTGTTTTACTTTTATTTTATTTAACATTGTTTGAGGAGCTACACATTCAGTTCTCCCTTGAATTTAACACTGGGATAAAATTTATCTTGTTTCAGAGGAAAATTTATCTCATTTTATTGGATAACAAGAATCAATACAAATTCTATACATTTTTGTGTTAGTTGTCAGGGTGTTCAGAATTAACTTAGCACTCAACTATATTAATACTTCCCGGATATTAGACACATTCATTTGCCTGTTCTTTTAAAAATTTATTGATTAATAGATAGTAAACCACCTCAAATTCTTACTTCCAAAAGTATAAATTATACATAAGTAAAAATTTAACTATTCATATTCTCACCATAGAAGATTGTTATGGTTTAGCTTTTATAGCTAATGAAAATCAACTTACCAAGAGTATTGCCTTTTTATTGAGCATGTTTCTTATTAGTTTTGTAATTTCTTATTCACATTTAGCTTCATCAAACAGAATTATTGAAAGGATATTCTCTGGAGCAGTAACAAGGTAAGAAGTTTAAATCTGAGTTTAAAAATTAACTACAAGTAATACTGTAACAATCTCATTTTAACAAGTCTTCCTGTGTAATTTGGCAGTGCCACTGGGCCAAGTAATAGCCCACAACACATATAGTCATGACTGTAATACAAAACAGTAACTCTTTAATACGAGTATTTGTCTATATCTTGATACAGGTAACAGTACTTGATCTCAGTGATTATTTGCATTCAAATTAGAAACCAGATTTTTTTTTTCATATTTGCAAATTCCTTCTGGTTTCACCCTCTAGGCCTTTGAAAACAAAACAGGCCACGCAAGGGTTGCCCTTTATGAGGTATCCAGCATTCTAATTTTTAAAAATTTAGCTAAATTTCCAAAGAAGAATATTACTTTATTTCTCAGTTTATCATCATATTAAATTTGTCTGAATAATTGCTCAGGAAATTTTATAAACGTGTTTTCTTCAGGGGAAAAACAGTACAGAAAGAGGGAAGAATGAGCTATGCAGACTTTGTTTGGTTTTTGATCTCTGAGGAAGACAAGAGGAACCCCACCAGGTATGAATTCTGAGTTTCCTTTGCCAAGATGTTTAACACATGCCAAAGCTTGAAAAAGTCATGACACATACCTGGTGAAGCCGACTCAACTTGGGTATACTAATATGGATTAGACTTAGTCTCTGTTCTCTGAGAGCTCTCAGTCTAGGAAAGGAGACAGGCACTCAATCCGTAGTCATGGCATATCAGGAGAAGTGCTGTTACCCACAGAAACAAAGGTGAAGTGACATGTAAGCTGGCCCTGAGGGTTAAGTAGGACTAGTAAACATTTACACAAAATGTGACAATAGGTACTGTAGATTTTACTTGTTCTATAATCTTAATGGCTCAGTAGTAAATTGGAGAGGGAAAGAAAAGCAAATTGTGGGTGACATATAAGAATATGTCCTCATTTTCCCAGTTGGAATCATCTCTCCCTTTCTTTGACACTCTCAAACATACTTTGATATGTGGTTGTGAATTTATGTATCTCTTTTTCCCCTCTACTCTGTTAGTTAAGTCAAAAATCTGTGTATGTCTGCTTTTTATTCCTAGTTTGTGTAACTCAATGCTCTGTACACAGTTTGTGCTCAGTACCAAAGGAGGGAGGGGCAGCAGTCTGCTGCTTGCAGGTATAATCGACTCAGTTATCTTCATATTGGTTCACAAAGTTACCTAAATGTTGGATATGTTGTTTGGAAATCACTGAAATAGAAATAAAAATAAGCCATTTCTTTAGGCAGTATGTTAGATTATTTTTGAATAACTTTATTTTTCATTTCAAAAGTAGTAATCATTATAGATGATTTAGAAAACATGATAAGCAGAAAATAAATTTTAATACTAGTAATTCTAATACCCAGGAAAAAAACACTATTAAAAGTTGGCATATATCATATATAGTCTTTGTCATATATACTTTCATGTACTGTTTATACTTTTAGATTATTTTCATTGGGTTAAATCTTAATTGCCAAAAACTCCAAATTTTTCATGTAATGCTCTCCTAAATTTCCTATAATAGTCATAGCTAAGTAGTTGTAACATCCAATATTTTTTCCATAGAATAAATTCCCAGAGAGGAGTTGCAAAATTAAAAGGTACAGACATTTTTTAAAAAAGAAAGATAGTATCAGTTTACACCTTTATCAACAAGGTATTAAGCATATTTCCCTGAACCCTTTCTAATACTAGGTATTTTCCTCTGAAAAAAAATTTTCCAATTTGATCAAATATTCAGTATTGTTTTAATTTGTATTTTTTTGATTACCAAGAAGGCTATGGGTATATATATATATATATATATATATAGAGAGAGAGAGAGAGAGAGAGAGAGAGGCCATTTTTATTTCATCTTAGGTGCCTTGTCTTTTTATATCTTTTGCACATTTCTGCTGGATTAATTTTTTAGAGTTTATTGTTTGATCACAAATACACATTAAGTATTAAAAATTATAAAATACATGAAATCAAAAACCTTAAATTCATTCATAGTTCCATGACCCATAATTAACATGCTGCTTTATGTCCTTCTGCTCCCCCTTGGCCTCCCACCCTTTCTCCTTCCCTTCTCCTTTTCCCCTCTTCCACTTTCCTTCCCTTTTCCCCACCTTTCTTCTTCTCTTCCTCCTCCTCCTCCTCTTTCCCCCTGCCCCAAATGATATGGTATGATAAATAGGATCATACTGTACATAATTTTGTAACACAGTTTTTCACATTCAGTATATTTGCATGACAGGAAGTGTGTGTGTGCATATATATATATATATCGTTTATCATTAATGCATTATTTTGAATGTTTGGGATTGTTTCAGCTAGATTACATTAATTTCCAAAGATCGAGGACTGTGTTTTTGGGTTTTCTTTCTTGCCATTTTGGTGTTCTGTTTACCCTCTCAATCTCAATTTCATTTTTTATCTTTCATATTTCCTTAAGTATGGAAAAGCTTCCTCAGACATTTCCCATCCATGTTTTTGTTTTTGATTTGCAACTGGCCAATAAGAGGATCCGAAGCCTTAATCATGTTGTTACCAGCACGTTTTTCTCTTTTTGGAACTCCTGTTATCTCACAGGAACAAACGAAAAGAACCAAAAATGGTAATTGGGAAGGTTAATATAATAACTTCTGTGAATATATACTTCCTCTTCTTTCATCTCTCATCTTCAAAAAAGCATAAAATTATATGTAGTAATTATTACAACGTATTTTTGAGTTTGTAATATATATAACAATAATTGCATTAAGAAGGCAGAAGAGGGAATAGAGCTAAATAGGAGTCATATTTCAGTATCTCAGTGGAATTAAATTAGTATGAATCTTAAGTAGATTCTGATAAGATGTATATGGCAAGCCCTAGAGCAACCACTACAAAATTAAATAAAAAATACACAGTAGGGCCGGCCCGGTGGCACACTGCTACAGTGCACCACTTGGGAGTGCGGTGGTGCTCCTGCCGAGGGTTCGGATCCCACATACAGACCGGTTCC